GTTGGTCTGAGTTCAGTCTGAAAGATCAGTTTGAAGCGTCATTCAGCTGGATTTTCTGCAGCACAAATAACCTTCCCAGAATGCAAGACGCCAAGAATCTCATGGACTTATTGATCTTACACACCAGTTTTGCATATATTTGCATATTGATGAGCAAGCAACCAATCAGAGAAGCCAATTAAATAAAAAAAATTAAAATGAGTCTTTATAAGGCTTGTGATGTGAACGCTGTTCTCGACGACGGTGAAGACGAGAAAAAACACTAATAAACAGGTATTTCTACCACGAACGAGAAGCCTAGACACATAGAGTAAGTACCAGCATCGCAACAGGGATCAGTTTTTTCAAAAATGTTTGTTGCGTTTAGATCAGCGGGAGGGGAGCCGCGGCGGTGGCGGTAGAGTAAATTTGGGCCGATGCCCCGCCCTTCAGTGTTTAAGAGGCGGTTTCTCAGCCTCACCCATAGTAGGCAGGATTTGAGACGAGCCAGTATTGGTTCAGCCCACCATCTCAAGCACAGCGCCATGGAAACGACGCAACCTGAGCGGCCCAAGTTTATACAAATAAAAGGCACTATGAACAATAACTACTTCAAGACTAGTTGGTTAATTGATGGTAACTTTTATTGATTTCCACACATGGTAATATGCTAATTTCACAAGTTACCATAAAGAAGAAGGCTGGAGCTCCAAGTTAAGATTGACCAATGAAGCAGTTAATTCTCCATTTGATACTATGCTTAGAACTTTTTAAGCAGTAATTCTTTTCTGCAATGACTTGTGCGTTTCTGTTTTTGGTCATTTCAGTGTTATTTTCCAATCATTGCGTAGTTACAGATATTTTTTAGTCTCTATCGCATTACGTTTTCTTATGAACAGTAGTATTTCAGGACTAGTTCTCAAATTGATGGTAACCTCTAGTCATTTCTTAGCATGGTTATATTGTAATTTTGCAAATTTTTGAGTCACCATGAATGAGAATCCTAGGCCACCGAACCAAGATTGACCAACCAAGAAAGGAGTTTGGAGTTTGAAATTTTCGATTTAATTTGTGATTATCATTTTCTGTTTATTTTAATGTCAGAGACACAAAGGTGTTTTTGGAGTAGTGTTTTTTCGGACTCTGTAACGGTCATGGAGATTAAACTCTAGACCATTTTACACAGATGTGCATTTGCTCTTTAACAGTTTTTAAGCATTTTAGTACCAGGCTTCACAGTGATGGTAAACACTTCTGAGGTACCATAGTATCTGTAATCTAGCAGTTCCTTATATTTTACACCGTAACATAACACTCTTACCCAAAAACCACAGATGAAAGTCTTGACAGGGTTTTTTTTAAATACACCATATAAACCAGCACACTGGCTTATTTTAAGGCCATAAGCATTTTTTGACTAACCTTCAATAGTATGGTAAGAGCTAACACAGATGCATCTGATTCAGCCAATCAGGCACTTCTGAAGAAGCTAATTAGCAGCAGTGGGTGTGGCTCATTACAGGAATATCCACTCCACTGATTACTGATCTGTTTCTAGGGAGAGTGTGTAACTGCGCCATCTGCTGGTGATGAGGAAGAACAATGCGGAACTGCGCCGTCTGCTGGTGATGAGGAGGGACAGTGCAGAACTGCGCCATCTGCTGGCAATGAGGAGCAAAACAGTTTTTGACCGCTTTCATTTTTTATACTTTCAACTTGAAACGCTCATTAGCGCCCTCTAGCGATCATTTTCGTGTCGGGCCAAAATGCAGTATTTGCGGTAACAACAACAAAAAAAGCCCAAAAGTACAAAATAAACAAATAGTTTCAAACTGAGATTTTAACATGATTGTCTAACATTACACTATATTATGTAACTGAAATACTTTAGCAGTACTATTTGGAGTAAATATAGTAAATTACATGTACAATACAAATATAGTTCATTTTTTTCTTATCTCACTGGATGAGGGAGTGGCATAACTTTCTGGATGGCCAAATCAAAGTTTGACAGAGCCGGTTTATAAGGAGTCTGGTCTCTTCCAGTTTCGACCTTTAACTCAAAAAATATCACTGCTAAACAGCAGAGGGTGCCCAAGAGCGGGTCCTCAGTGAACGGGGGTGAACGGAGCTAAACGGCTAAAATCGAAAAGTTAAAACTGTTTCAAATCATTTACACAGAACACAGAAGAAAACCTCACCTGTACGTTTCCTTTTCTACAGCAAACAGACGCTGACATTACCGGATACTGAGCGACGACTGGTTAGCATTACTGCTACTTAGCATTTGCTATTTCCCTGAGAGCTCTCTTCCTAAAACAGGAACATAAAAAGTATAGTGTTGTTACAAGTGTTTATTGTAAGGCTAAAAGCATTCAGTCTTCATTTTTTACCGTAAGAGCTCCAGAGCTGGAACTGCCTTTTGGAACCATCGCTTCCATAAATCATCCTGGCACAAGATGTGCCCAAATGTGGGTAGATGCACAACCTGGGGATCTCAAAGACAAATGTCCAAAAAAAAAAGGCACTGTTCTGTAGGCTTTGTGGTTTGCTGGTCTAAATCATGTTTCTACAACCAGAGGGTTGTTGGTTCAAGCCCCACTTTAGGGCTTTCATTTGCATGTCTTAATCTGTGAAGATGGCAAAAACAAAGACAAATGTTAAAAAAAAAGAAGGCTCTCTGTAGGCCCTTTGGCTTGCTGGTATAAATCATGCTTCTACAACCAGAGGGTTGTTGGTTCAAGCCCCACTTTAGGGCTTTCGTTTGCATGTCTTAATCTGTGAAGATGGCAAAAACAAAGACAAATGTTAAAAAAAAGAGGCTCTCTGTAGGCCCTGTGGCATGCTGGTATAAATCATGTTTCTACAACCAGAGGGTTGTTGGTTCAAGCCCCACTTTAGGGCTTTCATTTGCATGTCTTCATCAGTAAAGATGGCAAAAACAAAGACAAATGTTTAAAAAAAAAGAGGACATTTGTGAGATCCTGTGGCTCACTGGTAGATGCCCTGCCTCTACAGTCTGGAGGTTATCGGTTCATATCCCGAGCAGGATCCTCACATCACGGTGGTGGTGAAACACACAGGGTGAAGGGTGTACAATGCATGACATGCGAGGAAGGCCAGAGCGCGCAACCCAAGAACCAGGGGGGAAGGTATACCCGTCTTCCCCCCTGGGGCCCAGGAGAGAGGACAAGAGGGGGTTATGCAGAATTTTGCTGGGAAAAAAAGTTGCACTTAACCCTTTGGGTATGCAAAAATTCTACCTACTTGGACCCTCATTTTACTTCGCAAGCTGACTAAAATGTTTCCCCCCCCTTAATTAACTTACTTTTCTTGTTGTTGTTGTTTTCCCTTCCCTCTCCCTCCTCCTTGGCTTGAACCCACAACCTCCCACATCTGAGGCCAAAGCTGGTCCTACTAAGCCACCAAGCTTCACACACAGCAGCCTTTTTTTGGGGGGTTTGTCTTGAAGATTCCAAGACACACACAAAAATTGGATCCTCTAACGACTCAAAGCCCATGAAGGCCAGAACGTGATTTGACATAGACTGAGATGTTCCTAATGCTTTAACAAGTGGCTGATTGCAAATGCATCCCATGGTTTTCTAACGGGATCTAGACGTGTGCTCTCTGTTGGAAACCCTGAGAAAGTAAAACCGTAAGCGACTGTTTCAGGACTGGTTCTCAGATTGATGGTAACTTCTTTTAGTCGTTCCTTGACATGGCGTTATAATAATTAAGCTAATTTTCTGAGTCGCCACGAACGACGATCCTAGGGCACAGAGCCGAATTTGACCGATTGATCGCTGAGCTCCGTTTAACGGTGCGGCTTTAAATCCAACAAGTACTGATCACCTTCTGCTTGGTTTAATGTCAGAGATAGAAAAATGCTCCTAGGTTTCTGGATAATAGTCATAAACACGAAACCGTTTCAGACAGATGCTCGTTTGCAGTTTCACACTGTGTAAGTATTTTAGTGCTGGTCTTCACATTGAGGGTAAATGCTTCTAAGGCACTATGTTAATTACAACCTAGCTGTTCCTCATATATACACAACCAAAAAAAGAAGCCTTCTCATCTTTTTCTAAGAACACAGTAGTTTTATTTAAGTCTATAAGCATTTTTGATTAGTCTTCTCAATGACGGTAAGAGTTCCAGAGAAGTTTGGAACAGCATGTGAACCGTGGCCCGTAATCTAAAAGAGCCTATGTGTCTGAGCTAAACTCACGTCATCTCACTTTTTATGTATGAAACTGAAGTATATTTAGAAAGGAACCTTTTTATAGAAGAAGGTAAAAACACTCTTAACGTTGAGTATAAGCTGATGTCTGAAGTTCCAAGTATCTAGGAGTTCCCTGTGTGCTCTGTTTGCCGACAGCCTCAGCGCACTAACTCCCGCTCCAGGCCGGCAATTCAGGTGAGCGCTGTTTTTTTCGTGGAGGCTGTTGAGTGGCTGCTGTCTAGCTGCACCGTAAAGACTCGTGTGTGTGAGCGATGCTGTGTGGATGTTTGGAGTACTTCTCCGTTCTAAATTTGGGGGGTTTATAGCGTTGTGCATGCCGCAATAAAAAGGGGGAGCATAATAGTGAAAAGGAAAGCTGATGCAAAAGTGTAGAATAGCCTAATTAGTAACGATAAAGTGAGCTAAATAACACCATGCGAGATTAATGAAGGTTGGGCCCTTATCTTCGTAACGGTAAGACATGTGTATATTGGTCACTGCGTGAAAGTTGGCTTAGAGAAATAGTCAGATTAGGTTAAAAAGGGGGAACGAGAAGTGAAAAGTAAAAGCCCAGGGCCCTGGGGAATTAGATTAAAGGGAAATTGGATTAAGGGGAAATTAGCTTACTGGGAAAAAGAAGAAAGAGAATAAAAGAGGAAAGAGTTAAAGAGAATAAAAGAAGTTAAAGAGAATAGTGATGATATGAGTGAAAAGAGAAATAAGAAAAGGGAAGAGAATAGAGATGATATGAGTTAAAAGAGAAAAGGAGCCGCAGATTAGGACCAAAGCCCTCTGGGAGGCGGTGTTAGACGGGCCTAAAATCCTGGAAAATCACTAGGTGAATTTCTGGGTCAGTTCTAAGGAACTGGGGGTGTGGAAGGAAAGTTCAATTATAAAGTTCCCACTCGAACACTAGTTGACGAACGGTGTCTGAAGCAGCTTTTTATTGAATATTCACACCTCATAAAGGTAGCAAAAATTTAGAAGAAAAAGGGAAAAAAGGAGCGGCAGAAAAAGCATGCTACAGGATCAGTATGAATGAGTCGACTTTCAGATTGAGTGTTGTTCTTTGTCTTCTGTGTCTGTGAGAGCTCGCTGTGTGTTTCTGTGTGAGGGGGAGTGGCCGCCTCTTACTGTGTGTGTGCGGACCTGGGGTTCTGTGTGTGAGTTGCTTGACTTGGCTGTGCTCCAGCTGCGTAAATGGCTTTAAGACTATATAAATGATAATTAAAAAAAAAAAACATATGAGCCTCTAAAGAGGACGGTTTTTAGATGGTTAAAATATCATGAACTTTCCTGGGGGACGTTTTTAGATTTAAGATAAAGTTAAGATTTATGAGCCTCATAAAGAATAAGAGGACTTTTATAAATTAATTTAAAAG